ATGTCTTTTTGCAACAAGATGGTGCACCACCTCATTGGGGTATCATCGTTCGTAGTTCCTTGAATGCACATTTTCCAGGAAGATGGATTGGGCGAGGAGGTCCAATTCCTTGGCCACCCAGATCACCTGATATAACGCCGCTGGACTTTTTTCTTTGGGGATTTATAAAGGACAATGTTTAAAGGAGGATTGTGTCGAACATTGATGACCTAAAAGCCAGAATTACAACCGCAATAGCCTCTGTGGATGCCTACATGCTTGTCGCTACCTGGCGTGAAATTGACTATCGACTTGATATTCTCCGGTGCGACGAAGGGGGCACATGTGAAAGTTCATTGACAAGGGCCATGAAAATTTTTGAGTCTATCTAACCATTTATGTTATTAATTTTAATCTATCTTTATTATTTTATGAGTTATTAAACATCAAAATGGGTCCGGGACTTTATAAACACCCTGTATATACATCTAAATCTAATATACTATCTTAAATAAAATTTTCTTACATATTAATTATTTTGTGTTGTGAAAATTTTTTTAGGTCTCCTCCTTTATTTGCAATCGGAAAAGAAAAATACCTTCCCGCTTCTTATGAGACAAACAGGAGCACGGATTGTAATTCACGACCCTAGAAGTTTGCCATTCACAAGATCCAGTGGTTTCGATATACGACATGGAGCAATAAGCTCAATGAGTGTGAAACTAACACATGTTAAAAGACTTAGTCACCCTTGGGGTAAATGTGCAAAAGATGGAGACAATACTACTTCCAACTACTTGATTGTACCTTATAACCAAATTGTAAGAAATCTTTTGCTATTTTTTTAAAAAATATTTTGTTATTACAATTGAAACAAGATAATTCATTTTCTTTTGACTTAAAAAAATCGCATAAAATGATTCAAGTGTTTATCAATACTTGGAGCTTAATATGAAAGCTTATTTTAGCTTATGCTTACATTTAGAAAACATATGGCTGGTCGTTCTTTGGAGGTTACTGTTAATTATAGGTGGTTGAAAATATTCTGGTGGACGTGTAATCCACGAATAACCAATCTATAGTGAGTAAGCTAACTTAATAAAGGATTAAAAAACTAAATGGATGAAACATTAGGAGTTAACAAAACTGCTATGTATTTATTAAGGATTAAGAACAGAAAAAAATGAAGATTAAATTAAAAAAGATTACTAGACAGGCATTGCCTTGCAGCTGCTAGTAATGCACGTGACATGAGGTCACAAATTTTTGACTAAAATTAATTGCAATTGTTATTTACACGTATATTGTTGTCAGATACATAAAATTGAGTACAAAAGTTCAAAACAATTTTTTCTGTTGTTGTTGTTATTGCTTATCCTCTTCCGGCCTGACGAAGACCAGATCCATGAACCCGTTGACCTGAAGAAAATCAAAGACCAAAAGAGCAGTAGAGTAAATGTCCTCCCAGAGAAGACCACGACAGTCCAGGATGTGATCGGCGGAAGCCCGGTGTAGATGGCATTTAGGGCAAGGGAGGCAGGTTTTAGTTCCTTCGGAAAATAGAAGACCTTTTAGATGGCCGGTAGTTAGGCGGGAGATGGTGGTGCAGACTCTCCTTTAAAAGCGAAGAGTCAAAGAAACTCCAGGCTTATTTCCCTTGAACCAATGGTGGGCGGAGGGAATCAGCCAGTCTCTGAGAAGCTGGGATTTCATTAGGGTGTAAAGTTCAAGATAGGTAAGATCAGAAGAGATAGGGTACGGTTGGCTGCAACCCTCTTTAGCTAGGCTGTTCGCTAAGTCATTACCATAGAGACCGACGTGAGAAGGAATCTATTGCAGGTGAATATTATGTTGAAGGGACAAGAGTTTTAGTTTGTTTAGGATGGAAATACAGGTTTTGTCGCCAATTTGGATCCAGTAGTTGAGATAAAAAATTTTCTAGAGCCAACAACTGATGGAGGAGTTGGCAAGCTGGCAATGCCATCCACCTCAGCATATATATAATTTTCTAACACTTATTAATTGCCTTAGATTTTGATTTTCCCACAGACTAGACTATTATTTTAATTGGATAGACTAAACATTGGATTAGAAAGTGTGGTTTTTACTATTATCTCTACTATGTTACAGTCAATAAAGTCTTTTTTTAATAGTTAAGATGCTTTTCAGTTTATTTATTTCTTCTTTTATTAATGTTGCAGGCATGTGAGCGTACCTGTTTGAATAATTTCGTATTCAAACGATGCAAATGTTATCATCGATACTTTCTTTCTGCAACAGTCGAACCTGTGGGTACTAAGTTATGCAGATCACGCCAAGGTAAGAAAAAAAAATTCTTGACTCTTTTTAAGACTTGGAATAAAACTATTAGATTTCGAGAGTCTGATTTTTGAACCTTTGCAGAGTTACGGAGCAAAACAATCGATGAGATAGTTGTTTTTTTCGCTATCAAACAGGTTTTAGATTTTCATAAAACAATTTTTCTCAACTGTGTTCTCGTTAAATTTTGACACAGTTTCTGATTTCCAACGCTTAAATATTAGTTTGCGAACCCGAATGAGTGTACTTTTTTAACTTACTGTTAAAAAGAATTCGTAAAATGCATATTAATGGCGGTCTTTACAGAACATCCTGTATACGAAAATTGAAAAATCAAATTTTAGATTTTCACCCTTTCATCACTATTTTTTAAAAATATTCATAGCTTTTAAGCGCTTATCTAATTATTTCGAATTATCACAGGTTTCTACATATTACACTCATTTAAAATCCCGAGAAAATTTAGGCCTAACAGAAATTGTCAGTTTGATTTGTTTATTATCGATTTTATTCAACAAAGAAAATATTTGGAAAAAAAAGTTAAGGTTTTGATTCAGAGTTTTCCCGTTGGATTGACTAGATTTGATGCGCATTTTGCCATGTTTTGCGTTGTCGAAAGGGAATTACGTTGAAAAATAGTTATAACAATGACAGGCACGTACTAAAGAGAAAGAGATACAGATAATTGTTCAGACAGCGAATTCGTATATAGTGTAAGTGGTTCTTGGTAACTAGCTTTACAGAATACGTGGTTCGAACCTTGGGTCCAACCAAATTAAAAGTCGGCTTATAGAGATTAATTCAAGTTGAAGATACGATGCTCCAAAAAGAATTTAAAAAGGATCTTAAGTGTGCCTACACTGTGCCAAAATTACGTAAACCGCTGTTGATTCTATACAAGCTTGAAGACGAAACTAACAGATGACACAACAGGTTGAAGGATTAAAAAACCGAAATGAAACGATTTAAAGCACAGAAATCGAGGCTTAACTTTTAAAGCATTACATGAAAAGAATACACTGAAGTCCTAAGAGGCTTTAAGAGCTGTTGAATCGGATATATTGCGAACAATTGCTTCTATCACGATGGTCAGCCTGGTTATCAAAAAATCATTGCATTAGTTGTCAACGAACGTTTAAGCACATAGCTTAAACAGAACCATTGCATTCCCATTTAAGCCAACACTGTCCCTGGGTCAAGCAGATGCAATTCCAAATCAAGTGAACCATGATTGCCCTTTGATCTTCCGTCCTAGTACTAATTGTCTTCCTTTTGAGATGTAATTACTTTTCAATATTACATATAAAAAAAGGATTTAATCTGTGAAATAATTTTTCAACATTCTGTATAAATCTGTTTTTAAGAAAGTCTGTTGGACTCGAATAATTTTCAGACGGCCTTCCGGTCGCCAGACAAGTTGGTGATTCAGGGAAATCTCTTTCATTGAAGCTTTCAGCTCAATAACAGGCCTCATCTGTCCATCAGCTTAACTATGGGAACTCAAGGCCTTGTGATGGGAGTCCGTAATTGCTTGGTCTCTTGTGATGTAATTGTTTGGTGGCCTTTGTCACGGCGATGAGTGTTCAGCTGTCTGTGGATAGGCCGAATGTTGAGTTTTTGCAATTTTCCTTTCTTAATGTGGCTGAAAAAATATCCAATTTAACTAAAATGTTCAATTTTGTGTCAAATTACCGTTTCGTATACACTCTTGCACAAGTTAAAAAATAATAATAGAGGAGAAAAATATTTTTCTTTCTTTTTAGAAAATTTCAATAAAATAAGGTAGTATTCATTAAAATTTAAAAAATTCTGTAAAATGTAGTAAAATTTTGTTACCATATTAATTTATATAAAATATCATTTCATGATTAATGATGTAATAATTGAATTAGAATTACTTTCTTTTACAGATAAATGTTTTGCAGATGTTATGAGAGAAATAAATTCAAATGAAGTACAATGTAACTGCCCACCAGCATGCCGGTAAATTTCAAATGTTTAAAGTAATCTAAGAACAATTTTTTTAAAATCAGTTCTCTTACTAATTCTTAAAGAAGAAAAACTTCATAAAATCTAAAAATTTTTTATAATATTATTAGCCGGCATTTTTTTTTTCAAAACGATTCAATTTCTTAAAAAAAAAAAATGCCGAATTTCAATCAATAGTAGATATTACTCTATTTTTCAAAATACTCGTTCAGAATATTACGTTCCTATGCAAATATATATTGTAATAAAATTAATAACTCCAAAATTATCTACATATCTGCATAGAAATAATCCCGTGTTTAATACATTCTTTAGAAACATACGTAATCTTCTGTAATCACATCACAACCTTTAATCAATATCTATCTATATATATATTAGAATTCCAGTCACGAGCATATATGGCAACGTTATTTTTAAAAAGTAACGAGTAAAAGTACAAGTATTTTTAAAAAAAGTAACGAGTAAAAAGTAAAAAGTTCTTATTTTAAAAAGTAACGAGTAAAAAGTACAAGTAAAAGTACAAGTACTNCACAACCTTTAATCAATATCTATATATATATATATTAGAATTCCAGTCACGAGTAAAGTTAAGCAAAATGCACATATTTTAAATATCAAGTTTCAGTTAAGTGAAAAAAATAAAAATAAAAGTTTATCAAATACAAAGAATTATTATGGGTGGGCTTAAAAATATCAAAATCAGTTCGATTACTGGAAGCAATCAAAAGAAGCTCAAAAATTATTATTAGAAACACAACTTTTATTAGAATTCTATAAATATATTTTGCAGTTGATCGCAAAAACTCTTGAACAATAGAACAATATCAAAATTAAGTAATTAAAATTCCAAAGAAATTATCTTTCAATCAATAAATTATTAGTTCTCGTTAAAATTTCTGGGAAGTTATGGTTTGATCATCAAATCTTTTGCTGCTTTTCATGTTGTGGGTTTCGATTTCTAATAACAAATGCCTTATAGTTCACGCACAGACACTTTGCTCTCGAACACGGCCCACTTGCATTTGAGGAAATTGTCTGCTCTCTTGCCTAATCTGAACTCCTGTATAGTTTGGCATCGATGACATAATAATCTAGGGTTAGTTAATGAAAACGATGTAAAGGTAGTGAACCAATAGCTCAACGTGGTGGGGGAGTTTCTGAGACTATCTTGCATTCAAACTGGTGTTTGGGTGACGAATGCTTTGTACCTGCTGTTGCACTAAGCATTCCGTACCGGTCATAGCAATAATGGTTGACACTTTACATGAAGTCAGCAGGGAATGTATACACTGCTATCAGCAGCAACTGATTGATGCGTTTGATCAAATCCTCACTTGCTTAATCTGGACTCCCGTATACTTCGGCACGTTAAGGGAATAACTAGGATGGCCTAATTGAAAACGATGCAAATAGATAGTGAACCGTTAACTCAACATGGTGGGGAGTCTCTCAGACTATCTTGCATTGAAACTGGTGTTTGGGTACCGAATACTAGTTCTGGTACTAAGCATTCGGTACGGGTCATAGCAATAATGGCTGGCACTTTAGCAGCACTGCATGAAGTCAGGAGAGATTGTCTTTTGCTACCAGCAGTAACTGACCTGGAAAATTTCTGTTGAGTATCACTGGTTAAAAAATTAATACATAAAATTATTTAGTTTTTTGAATTCTGAAAAGTAATTGCGAAAAAAAATCCGTTTTGATAAAAACTTTTAAAACTTTTGACCAATGAGTTTTCTTTTGAAATTCGTTTGAAAATAGCGAAAGAAAAACTCAAAATATGAACTGACTTCTCTACGTTGTTTTTCAGTTTTTCTTTAACTATTTAATAAAGTTTCTTTAAAGGGTTTAAGAAATTGCATCTTAACGACATTGTTCTTTTCAATATAGTGAAAAAGCATACAAAGTGCGGATTTCTGCTTGTAATCTTAATAAAGAATTTTTTCGAGTACTAAAGAAAGCGAGGTCTCTAAAAATCGTGAATGGAACTCCGTCAGTTGTAAATCCAAATTTTAGGTAAGAACACAATTTCTATAACTGTAGTAAAAATCAGTAAATTAATTATTATATATAATCCGAAAAAGAGATTGGAACCGAAATTATCTCTTATGCTTTATTATTAAATATATCAATGCTTAAGTTGAATTTGATCTTCGAATGAACTACATGAATGTTCACTCGATAAAGGACAAACTTAGTTACGTTTCAAAATTTATTAAGATGAATGAAGTCATCGTTTTGAGTTTACGAAAACAAAGCGTTCATTAAGACACAACATATGTGAATGAGAAAACATTTCTAAGCGGAATGAAGACGTGTCGTAAAAGTGATATCTTTAAGTGGACCGTGGCCGTCGCCCTATCATCTATCAAAATTTTTCTGGTTTTATTTTTCAGATTTAATTTATAAGTCAAAACTCTTGATGGTCTCATCAAAAAATTTTGATGGTTTATGTTGATTTCAGTGCGATTCATGATGGTCAGACATCATTTGATGGTCACCATCATCCAGTATTTTTCATTACGTGTTTATGGGTTTTGATGCCAACAAACTTCCATTATTACATGATGGAAAATGCTATTTTAATGCTATGATGATTAGCCATCAAGAGAAGTTTGGTTCTCATGGACCAACAATCCATGATGGTTTCAACCATGGATTTTCATGATGGTTTAATTGAAATTCTTGTTGGTTCTCAGGAATATACAATCCGAACAATTTGGGTTTTTTTTAAGTTGGACCATCATAAATCAGTCTGAATTTCTCCATTGGGATGATGGTTGTTCATGATGGTTCCAACATTTGATTTCTAAGATACTATGATGGAAATTCATGAGGGTTCAATATTAACAAACCATCAAAACAAGTTGCTATTCTTATGTTGGACCATGATAAATCATTCCGAATTCCTACATTGAGGTGATGGTTACTTATGTTAGTTACTATCAGAAAATATAATGGTTCATGATGGAATTACTGATAGTTACCATCAAGATTATGCTAGTCCATCAATGGAAAACCATCAAAAGTTTTGACTTGGGTTTTATTTTACCAAGCACAAGGATTCGTTTCGATTGGAGATGAATGAAACAGTCCTTGAGACTCCAAAAATTTATCAGCAGAATCTTTCATAAAATACAGCTATTTCTAGCACCCAACTGCAGCACAAATAACAGTATAGTACACAAAACACAGGCTTCACAATCTCAGACGGATCTATGAACTCACTAGAAACTCGCAGATCAGAACATTATTGCAGTCACAAGCAGACTAGTATTCTCTAGTCTAATCTCTAAACAGACTAATACTCTCTCTGATATACTGATATAAAATAAGTGTTACGATGTTCCTAGCCCGTAGGGCTATCTACACCTTCATCTTAGATAGTGCGGAGATTAAGGGAGGAGAGGGGGTCAGAGTGATTACGCAAGCGTATAGGTATAAAATAAAATAATGATTTAGCAATACTTTGTGCAAGATTGCACAGTCTAAAATGGTTAAGATACAGAAAAAAGCAATTACAAAACACTACTGGAGAAATATATACAGCGTAAGGCAGTCGTGCGAGATGAGCGCAAAGGCCCTTTTTAGGGCCATTACACTATCTTCGGAATAATGGAGTAATTATCTCAACATGAATAATAAGTGAATACGAGTACTGGGTTAAAATATATAAAGTGATAATAACAAACATTGAAGAAAAGAGAATATTTACAGCGGATATCGAGTGTGCGAGGTATGGTGAAAGGCCTTTTTAAGGGCCTGTCGGTAATACTCGGCTAAGTCGAACATACTAGTAGCATGCAACGGAAATGCATGAGATAACGAAAGCGTAGTCTGGGTTATAGAAATAATGGTGAGTAATAAATGCAAGCTAAAAGATATATACACATATGTACAAAAGGGGGTCGGGCGGAAGCGATCGAGCGGAGTGAGTTAATGCCCTATTTAGGGCCTGAGAGCGTCGCGTCTATCGAAGGATGCTGAGGAGCGGTCGCATCTCTAGAATACCTGCATCTTTCCCTCGCCTCCCCCCCGAAGGGCTTCATTGGTGCAGATTGATGCAGTTCATTTTGAGAGCGCTCGCATTAGAAATATTAATTANATTTTATGAACAGTTCTAGTTTAACATCTTATTTTCGTTTAACTTATAATTGTTCATATTCGTTTAAATTCCTTAGTGCCATTCATTTATTCCAGTGCGTTCATTCATAGGTTAGATTACTTAAATTGTTTCCAATCTGTCTATTTAAATTTCTTTCTGAATATTTTATTTTATTTTAGAATCGATATGCTGGGAATTGAAGTCTTTTACAATTCACTGAGCATTACGAACAGAACAGAAACATCTATATATAGCGTAAGTTTTTAAATTAAAAAAAATAATAGTTTAACGTGAATCGAAGATTAAGTTATTTAAACGAAGAATAAATCAACAAATTTAAATTTAGCAGGAGGAAACATCTTCTCCATCAGAGTTAGTTGATTTATTTTATTTTATAACCGGCATTGAACAGCCCACCCAATTTTAAGTTTTTGTTGAATTCCATAGCCTTGTAATTTTGAACCCAATTCAGAATACAAGGGAACTCTTGGATCAAATAGGGGAAATTTGCCTTCGTGGAGTACCTTTTGCTGAAACTAGTCCACGTATTCATAACATGGAGAGGAAAACCACGAAAGCCATCCATGGTTAGCCTGATGGAAAGGGAACTTTAATCCATGATCAGTCTGCCACTGAGGATATTTCAAATCGGTACTGTTGTCGGTGCGAGCCGGGTGCGGAATTCGTATCGACCAGCCATCGCTGGGATTCGAACCCGGCTAATCTCACTGGAAAGGAAGTGCTCTATCCAGTGAACCACCACGGCTCTAGAGTTAGTTATTGCATAATTTTTGTTTGCTATTATACTTTATGGTATGAATCATACATTCATAAAGTGGACTATTTCTTACACTTTTCCCATTTAGTGTTGAAGATTTCTAGAGGTATTTCATCCAAGTAAAATTTTTTGCCATGTTTTTTGCCATGCGATATTTTATCTAAGCAATAATTTGCGCAATTATTATTTTATTTTGGAAACCAAATGGTGCGTTATTCATTCGACATCAAATTAAATTTTCATTAAGGACGAAGTAGTCTTATAACTTTCTCTCATAGTATATATAATCAATGTCCAAATTATTAGCCGCACTATAAGAGTCCATGTAAAATCTTAATTATCAAGTGATACTATGCAGCTTTATTGTTTCTACGTGACTGAAACCGGTTTGCACTTGCTTGCGTATATCAATTGGTTCAATTTGATGATATAGAATATAAATTTGACGATTGGATTAATTAGACAATATATTATATAAATATAGAAAATTTATTATATCAGGTATTACATTAGTTTATCGTAATAATTAGACAAAATTATTAGACGCACTGTAAATTTTTAATAATTATACATTTTGCTCGAGTTTGTAAGCAATACTTTTATATTTAAACATACATGTAATATATTTTTATTGAGGTGAATTTTTATATACATCCTATTTGTATTTATTTTTAATATATTCCTTTACAATGTTAACCAATTGATATACAAACATAAGCAAATGCAAACAGGTTTCAGCTCCGTAAAAACAATAAAGCTGTTATAGTATCAGCTGATTATTAAGATTTCACATAGAATCTTATAGTACGTCTAATAATTTGGCCAATGACTGTATAATTAAAAATAATGTATGGTATGATATTATACTCTATGTATGACTCATACGTTTCTAAAATGGACTCATTGGGTGCTGAAGATTACTGAGGATATTTCAACCAAATAAAATTTTGTTTCGGTGATATTTTATTTAAGCGATATTTTGTGTAATTATTATTTGATTTTTGAGACCGTATGAAAAGTAAGTCATTCAATATCAAATTAAATTTTCATTAAGTCTGCAGTTTTACGACTTTCTCTCATATAATATGTAATTAAAAAATTTTTTTTTTTGACCTGTTCTTTCTATTTGTTTCGGTCTGAAAGTTTCTGTTATTTGTATATTTATATATTTTTAAAAAGTGAAGCCAAAAGAGTATACACAGTAGGGTTCAAAAGTTAATACTTACGCGAGAGAAAAAGAACGATTTCAAAAGTGTGAGCAAAAGTAATGACGTCAAGTTCTACTTCGAGTCCGCTTAAATAAATAAAAAAAAAAGAGAAAGAAAATTAAAAATCAATCGTAGCACAAGTGTTTTATTGATTTATCTTGCAAAAGCATGACAGTTCTCCCCGATTTAATGTATTAATAATATAAATATTTATATTTGGATGTATCACCCTTGGCCAAGGTATCACCATAGCACATTGCTTTTTTAAACATTAAACCCCTGGTAAGAACAAATGATCTTCACTAGGTATAAACAAATGGTAAAAATGGTACTAAATGGAAAAAAATTCCAGTAAAAGACTTTAAATTACCAAAAATTATTAAAATACCATGAATCAGAGTAGAAACTATTTTTAAGCCTAAAAATGCGGATGTCTTGTTTGGGAAAAATACTTAATGAAAATAAATAACGCATATTTAATGTTGGGCCAAAGTAACATTCAAAGGATCAAAGTAAATTGATGATATAGGTGTTTTACATACATAAAAAAAAAACTTTGTATCCGGCAATTTATGGTTTATTTTGTTTGAGCAAAGGAAGAATAAAATAATGCAGAATTGTTTTATTCTGAGATGGCACTTAAAGGCGGATCAAAATGCATTCAAAGCTTCGAGACAAATAAAATAATTTTCATGATATTATTCTATTTATGCTTACTACCTTCCTCTATAAGGATTGATCAGTGAGTCGCGGTGGCTCAGGCAATAGAGTGCTTGCCACCCAATGAGGCAGCCCAGCAATGGCTGGTTGATACAAATTCCTTAAAGTATCCTCGGGACGGATCCTAGGTGGCGGATCATAGGTTAGAATCCCCTTCCCTTCGAACTTTCAATGTTTTCCTCTCTATGAAGCGCAAATGAAGGTCAGTTTTGTCAGAAGTCCTGCATAGTTCGTCCCACTGCTTGAATCAGGAGTTCCCCTGTGTTTTGGGAAGGATTCGAAATTATAAGGTCTTGTAGTTAAACATTAATAGTCGAAAACTCAGCATCGGGTCGGTAGTTTAACAATAGTTATAAAATAAAATAAAATGATTGGTCAATACTTGAAAAAGTTTTCATTCACTTTTACTTGAATATTTTTTAACAAAGGTTTCAAAATCTTATAAAAATAATAAATATTATGCAATGCAATGTTTATAAAACTGTTTTCATTTTAGTGGGAGTTTTTAATTGCTAATATTGGTGGCAACATGGGTCTTTTCCTTGGTTTATCTTTAGTAACATTTGTGGAAATTGCTGAATTCCTCTTTGATTTTCTTCTGGCGAACATCAGAAAAATATATAAGAGCAGACGGGTGAAGACTATGACTTCATGACTACTTGATGAGTATGTCTTAAAAGACGATACCACGTCGAAATTCCTCTAAGAATGCTACTTATTTCGAGGAAAGTGTTATAATAAGAATGTTATTTTCCTCTTAATAATTTTTAATAATTCGTGTATTTTTATCACTTAATTACAACGTTGTTTATTAATAAAGTATTTTTTGTCTCTACTTTTATTAATATAATACTTCTTATATTTTATTTTATTTAAATTGCGACATTCTTACGTCATACCATTTGTGATCATTAAAGAATTGCATTTTCTAAAATAAACTGCAAAACTAATAAAAACATAAGCATTTTAAGTATAAACTTTTATAAGCAAAATTAAAATAGTACGCTGTTAGAAATATTAGAATGTGTTGAACTAATTTAAGGTTCATTTGAACATTTTGAACAATTGAACATTTTTACTAGATAATCTCAATTTGCATGAAAACATGGTTAAATTAACCACCTTATTAATATTGCAGCAATTTTGAGGGATATTATGGTTCAAGGTTTTTATATTAAAGTTCAGTTTTAAACCGATTTTTTTGAGAGTGTAAAAATAGGATTTAAAGTTTATCCAATGCTTGCATCAAGCAATTCATGTAAATTTATTATTTAATTACATTGTTGTTACCATTATCATTTAAATTTCGACATTTTTATGCAATATCATTTGATATGATTGAAGAATTGCATCTTAAGTTGATTCTAAGACGTATTTAAATATGAACATTTTCCGAAATAACATGTATGGTGTTATGCTTATAATAATACTATTTAAACTTTGTATTGATTCACTTAACGTATTTTGATAGAGAATGGGTTTTGAAAAGGCCATATTGATTTCAGTTACAATAACAATGAATATAAAGAAGCTTGTTGACACAATATAAAAAGTCCGATGCAAACATAATTTTATCTATTAAAAGGAAGAAAAAAAGAATTTATCGGAAAATATCACTAAAATTCATGATTGGAAGACAGCATAGAACAGTTTAAATCTTGAAAGTTGCTTTTAAACAAGAATTATTACATGTAATAAGAATAATAAAAAAATGAACTGATTTAGATTTGTAAATTAAAGATTTAAAAAAAAATCATACAGATTATGAATAAAATTTTTTATTGTGTGTTTATTTTCTTAAGTGCATTTTTTTCGGCGTGAATAAGTAAAAACAGCATGTATATACAGCGTGAATATGTAAAAAAGGTATTATTTCTACTTTTGATGCTTTCCAGAAACACATAGTTCTAGTATACTTTAATAAAATACTGTTTAAAGCATTGAAGGAAAATTTTGTATATTTATTATCTTCAGAGTAAATCGAAAACCTAGCATGTTTTGTAAAAAAATATTATGTTTTAATAGAGGACACCAAATCTGCTCACTTCAAACCTCTCCCGATTGCTTCGAATTCATTTTTGATTGATGATAATAAACATATTGTAATATCAAAATTAAAAATTATTCATTTAAATATTGAAATTTTTGTTTTAACTATACATATTTGGCTCTACAGTTTTTGCTTCTAATAAGATAAAACTAGTAACCTTATTATTTTGTTTGGTAACCATGGATAATACATGCACAAACTTAGTTTTAAATTTTTTTATTTTATTTTTAGGATAGTGAAAAAAACTTTGTTTTTCGTCAAATATGTTATTGACCATCAGGGATATAATTATTTCTTAATATGACTTTATTTATATTTATTATTTTGATTGCGTTACCATGTAAACCACAATGTGTAAAATATTTTATTAAACACTTGCCGCCTCCAGTGATCAGCCGAACCACCTTTTTAAATGAGCAAAATTCTACAGTATTTCTATATTTGAAATCAAACAGTACAAAATTAAGTCTGTATAATAATCTCATATTGCTCGAGTAAGAGTGGATTTATTTTTGCCTCCTACATGTTCTAATGAAATCGTGATGAATTTGTCATTAAAGTGTTTAGTACAGCGTATGCTAATATTAAAAAAATATGCTAATTATCTCAATGGAGCCTTTGATGGACAATATATCAAGTTAGAAACTTTTTCAAAATCTAATCGTGCTCTTATTTGCTGTTATTAATTATGCGAGTCAATGGAACTTCATAAGGTTTTTTTCCCCCGAACTTTAACTGTTATAAATTTCTGTAAGTTAAACGCATACACAGATATAAAACAGTAAACAATGCATTTTAAAGCAAAATAAATAAACTTTAAAAAAATAATTTAGTTTAATGGCGCTGTTCAAGAATTAAAAGACAGCTCGAAGTAAAAGACTTTCCAAATAAATGACTATTTACGTTAAGAAACTAAAATCAGTCTTTACAGTTATTTGACACGTTTAATTATTAATTAAAATGGACTTTTGTTTGCCAACCGTTGTATTTATCTTTTTTAAGCCAAGACGAATAGAATAGAATTGGAATAGAATAGAAAAGGATATCTGCGAACGACTTCATTGTAGGTAAATAGTGGCATTTGTGCATTCAGAAGTAAATAAGGTTCGACCCACACATGTGACGTCGCTTACAAGTATGCAATTAAATCTTATTTAAATCACATTCTTAGGCATTGTTTTAATCTCATTGTTAGACTTAACTTCTTCTCGAGTTGCAAGTGCCCAAATAACTGATATACGTTCTAAATGTGTGGTCTCATTATATAATTTATGTACGTCTAGGGCTTCTTTCCGCTTTTGGTACCTAACATTTCATCTTCTACTTATCTTTTATAAGGACCATGTGTTGGCTTTATCAGACCGTCCAGTTAGAATTGTCTGAAGTGACACATTAGCTAGGGTAGACTATATTTGAGGGTGCCCCTTGATTCTCGCCAAGTTGTGATAGCGGTTGATCGCCTAGCTGGGCGATGTTGAAACCCCATCGTGATTCTAATAGGCTTAGATTTCAGCTTTATTTTTAAATGTTCAACAGTATATGTAATTTCAGAGGTCCGTTAGTTCTACGTTGGATACCGGCTGGTAAGGTTACTTTTGCTTATGGTCAATAAGATCGAAGGTATGTGGGCAGTCATAAAAACGGACTATAAAAAAATGTCACCGCCAGTCCGGTACCACGGATGCCATTTTTGATTCGTATTTCGCCGAATTTATGTGGCGATGGAGGTACACAGATTCTATTCATGATAAATTTAGACAGTATCTATCTGCTATTAGAGAATTCTGTGCACCTAAATCTGAGGATATTCAAGCTTAATGAAGAAGTGAGTTCTTTTCTTTTCCTTTTCTTTCTGTGCTTACTCCATTAATTTTTGTTTCGATTAAAAATTCATTTTATTGTGTTAATTAATTTTGCTTATATTGGGTTCATTACAATTTTATAAAGTTTTGGCCGCTATTCCTGTTACCACAGTGCTCCGCGCAAACAGGAATGGTGCCAAAATTAAGTCGCCAATTTCGCCAAGGGGCACCCTCAAGTATATTTTAATCCAAATACAGGCACGAAGCCATATAGAACATAAACAAACTAATTATGCATCGTATTTGCCAGATACACAAAGCAAAAATATATCATGGTTACAATAAAATGCATTAACAAATAACAAATTTATGTTCAGCAAAAGACAGAGGCGAGAAAAAATTACAACAAATTCGATGAGTGGTACGGTGCTGTATTTAATTAACTTCACGTTAATTAACATTCTAACTTTGTGGAAAAGCTTAGCTCAACTTTAAAATGTCCTTTTGCTCATAAGCAATCAGTTGGCGCTGACATCATAGGTTACATGTGTGAGTATCCATGTTCTTCTGCTTCTTGAAGTGCAAGTACCCGATTGAAAAGCTGTTTAGTCGAATGCGAATAATCATATTTATGCTTAACATTACCACTGACGGTGAAATATAATATTTTTAAAGTTTTTGATGACTTATGTTAACTTGCCTGTTTGCTTCTGGCAAGTTTTACTTCTGTATAGCAAGTTTTAAGGATATTTAATTTTTTCATCTGGTTTCGTCTGCTACTATATTTTGAATATTTAGTGAAAATGTTGTTTCCACAACAGTATAGATTTTAATATATAAACAGTGGTTTTCATCTATGAAATTTCAGATTATTGATGCTGTGCCCGATCCCAATAACGCCGGAAGGAAGTGATTGCTTACAAATCACCCCTTGCTAAATTTAAAACTGCTGGAAAGAAAACACGGTCTAAATCGGGGCTTCCATTCTCGAGTTGCTATTGAACTACATCCAGACAGAATTTAGCTTTTATATAAGTAAAGATAAACGTCCAAAGACTGTATGCTAAATTCTTACTTAAATTCATGAATTTTTGATAGATTATTTTATGCAGTCTGTACCCATTTTTATACGCTATGAACTAGTTGATTCAATTTTAAATTTTCTTAATTTCTGCAATTAATTGTTATTTTAAAAAGCACATATATGAATAAATATGGATGAATCAAATATGGCCTTGATTTCTTTTTTTTCTCTTTTTTTTTGAGCAGAATATTTAATTTTAACTAAATATAATATCCGTATTTAGAAATTTAATCATGATTATTTTTCCATTTCGTAACTTTTTTTATCTCTCCGTTGATGACAATGCAATCTATTTGCTATTTTATAGTGGCAATTTTAAATTAATTATATTTTTTTAACTTAACAAGATTTATATTTTTTTCTTCTAAAAATTATAATTCAAAATTCAAAAATATTGTTAACAGTTTCAATCAAGGAAACAAAAAATTGTTTTCAACAAAAACTTTAATTACGAAATATTAAATTATCAATCTCTCTTTCCAATCTAGGTTAATAAATTATAAATAGAACGTGTTTATTTTATTATAGTTCATATTAAGCAAATTTATATATAATTATTAATTTAATAACAATTTTATAATGTAAATTTATAATTATGTATAGCAAATTTCCATAATAATGAAATTTATACGAAATTTTATTCATTCAATTGAAAATATAAAAGGCCAAAGTGCCATGTGGACAAAATATGGCGAAATGGAACATGGAGTGAGTATTGACAGTTCATTATTAAATAATTATAAGTTTGATACCTTCAAGATAAAGAAAGGTACACAATTAATCGATTGCAGTTC